AACCAGAGTGGGTTAAGGCAAGATAAGATAAGCGTCCAACTGCCACACCACCCAGAGGAAGCACGTGGGCTAGGATACTACCAGGTTGCGCAAGCCTAGAGAGGGGAAGTTGAGAGGCAGAGGTCGGGTTCGAACCACGACCATCCAGCCAGTGATTTCGCGCTCTAATCATTGAGACATCTCGCGTAGCAGACCATAGGATCGACTGGACAAGTAGCGATGTGGCGTGCGGTTCAGATCATCACAGACGCGGAATTCTAATAGAAATCACACACTCCGGAATTAACTGGAGACACCCATCCAACAAAATAGTATATTACGTCATTGGACAATTCTATAAGGAGACCGCTGTGACAAGGAAAGTATTGCATCTAAAACTGTTGCATTTAGGCGTAACCTCACGTTCACTGCAGTACAGCTGTCAGAAACGCTAGTCATCAAAGTATGCAGGATTTTCGGAGAAGAAATTCTGATGCAACCTTAATCCTATGCACCGTTCGTCGACCGCGATAGAAAAGTGACGTTAAATTAGATCAAGATGGAGCGGTGACTCGGTCGGTCACTACTGTAAGACGAGAATGGTGGCATGAAACATTCACAAATGGCTGAGACATGAAATGCTTATGAAAGCACGAGCGAGGCTGTATTTACTTCAACAAAGTGCACTTCAAACCAAAGGAAAAGGGCAGTGAAAACAGAAGCAGCAAAATGATAAATTACTGATAAAAGAGATTGAAATGGCAATGCACCACAAATTCGTCAAATAAGCTGTGTATGATAGATTTCGGAATCACACTGACATAAACAACCAATGGTCATAACTAGTTAGCTTACTAAACATTGACGTTTGTCATAACGCCCATCTCCGCTGTCTTGTTGTTCGCAATTTGTTTGCAATTTTCACTGCAAAGAAGATGACTACTCATTTTGGTTCTGAGTAGTTAGAATACTGGAGATACTGGAGCAGGCGGGTAGCGTGCAAAACATGCGGGCTTTGATGGTTACGCTAGTAACCTCCGGATAATTTCGCATGAACGGGGGATTAATAGAGCGCAATATGAAGGATGCTCGATTTCACGACCTTCCGTCCGTCCACCAAAAAGTCAAGGTCAATTGTCCCCTCTCCGCTGTCTGCTAAGTGATTACCCAAACCGACCAGCTCTCCCAGTTACACCAGCTGCCCAGGTTCTACGAGTTATACACTCACCTGCCTATCAATTTTGTGTTGACTGCAGACTCACATGGAACCCAACTTAATCATCCGTTTATGATGTCCTTAAGCAACTGAACCTACTGCACCAGGCCGCCTCATGTTTCACTTGTCACGATATTCGAGATATCGCAATACATCGAATAGATGTATACACTACTCACGAGGCTGCTCCAGTTCTCTCCAGACAGGATGAAAAAATATGTTATCCAGTGGGTTTCCGTGGAGGATGAAAACCCCTCCTGACCACATTCAGAGTATAAGCACAAGGAGGATATACTTGTTATACCAACCTTTATTCACCCCAGCAAACTAATTTACGCAGAACGTGTTGGCACAGGAAAACCAGTTTAAGGACGGAGTCTCTGATACCTTTGAACTACCTGAGGAACAGATGCTGAATCTGTTCGATCACCGGATAAATGAAGTTAAAACCTCGCTTAATGACCTAGTTGCGTCCCTGAGTTCGAGTTTGTTGAAGGTAAAAATCATCGACACCACGGATACATAGCGTTCGCGTCAGCACGCATTAAGCCTTTTCTTTTGAATACGCCTGACTTGAATGAATTAAGAGGCCGTAGAAAATCATACACTGAAGTAGCCACGGAGGTATCCGTAAGAACTAGAGGTGGCTGGTGGCAGCAGTCGAACCATCGTGCGAGCAGATGACTCGAGGGACACGACAGAGAAAGGACCATGCGTACGCAAAAACCTATAGTTTACGCGACAAGATATCGGGAGCAATGAATGATAACAGACATTACGCGCGAGCATCCTGAAAATGACGGTTCTTGTAAACTGCAGTAACGCGTGTGGGCTTCTCCATGGACGGCGCCGATCTCGACAAGGCCTCGAAGCCTTTCACTTACTTCAAAAAACGTGTCTTGCAGAAGTAGTCAGGGAACAGAATCCATAGGCATACTACTCCTTTCTGAACAGTCCTTCTTCCGTGCTGGTGCCAGGCGGCACTGAACTCGGGACTGACTCTTGCTACGGCCCACCAACGGTGCATGTCATTGGTCGCGCGCGGAATTCGACTGGGGTCATTACACATGTGGTCAAGGCTACGAGCTGATGACGGACACTAGGTGTGAAAATAGACTCCGGCGTTCTCTGTGAGGTGGACGAAACAGAATATTCGCTCCAGGGTGGGAAGAGAACTGTCTAGACGAATGCTGAGTGGATACGCATTCTACAAATCCGCCACCTACTTAAAAGTCCACAGAACATTAGATTGTCAATGATAGTGGTGGTGAAACTACGTATATGAGACCTTCCTCAATTTTCTAAGCAAACAAGCCATCTGAATGTGAAGGCGGAGCGCTGCCGGTCGGTTTTCAAACATTTAGAATTTTTTGTATATTCCATACCACCAGCACGTCTGCCCTTCCAAGTTACGGGGTACCAAACATGCATAAATAGGTTTGTCTTTACTTGCCACGAATGGATCGGCTTATCGTGGGACTGCGCACTAGCAGAATGAACTATTGGAACCCATCCGGAAACAATTACGTCCATAGTCGTCGTGACTTGTTTAATTTCGATGACCCTGTCTAGAATGCAAACATAAACGCTATACGAGTGTGGTATCCGACAGGTTTCAAATTGTTGACGAATCTACCGCTGTACAAAACAATCGAATTCATTATCTAATCAAACAGTAGTTCACCTACTCTTGCACCACACCTCGGCCCACTTTAAGCCCATAATTCTGAGTACAATCAAACGTAGCGTCTTGTAACCAGTAACCAAACAGTTACCATTTTGTCAACGCTGTGTCGATGGCGTTTTTAATGTCCGCTACCACACTGCAGTTGAAGCGATTCTGATTCGGTCTACTCAATTCACTACAGTTTTGGTACTTTGATGCTTCAGTAGTTCGGATACAACGAAGACGCTTCGCCGACGAATAAACGGGAAATCAACGTGACCTGGTTAGTAAAAATATGTGGACATGAATTACAAGTGTTTGGCAGATAAGGTTAGCAAAACCTGCCCAGGTGACAAACTAGACGCAGAAGTGACGTGCACATTGAGATCTCTGATGGAAAACAGATGTCCGGGGAAGTTTGCGATGGAAATACTTGGGCAGAAACCCTTCAGTCCCGAAGATACTTATCTACACTGAGCTACCATCCAGAACCGATAATACTTCTGACATAGTCAACTGGAAACTAACGGCTTCAATCAGAAGAGAGTTCAAATTAAAGGTCCCATTCAGTAGTGTTCGGTTGTTCAATAGAAACATCGAGCATAAGGATCCGGTCCATGGCCCTCTCATGGTAATATATTCATTCGTCTGCGAATGTTCCGCGAGTTGGATCGGCTGGACGACTCGACACATCCCAAATGATTGCTCAACACATGCCCTCAAGCAGTGGAATCCAACGAGCAAATCACATGACCAACGCGTCTGTGTTTCGCTTGATCGATAGGAATCACGGGATTAACACGTTCAGTATCATGTTTCAAGTGCCGTCAAATTGTCCCAAGGTAGCCACCGTTGTGCAGACGGAAAGAAAACGACAAACACAAACCACACCAGAATTTTTGGACTTTTCTGAACTTACTGATCCAAAAGTGCCAGTACTTCGAATGCTGCCCGAGTCGCCAGACGTCTGCGTGTCAGGCGAGCCTGAACTGAGGACTTGGGTTTTGAAGAAGTGACAGGCATGAAGTCAAATTTATGTAACGACAAACTAGTGACTACAACACCACAGTATGCGAAAAGATGAGTGGAGCTAAAGCGTCTGGTATTCCGCTCAGCTATGTAAACCGAACAGGCGGGTATACAGTGTCGTTTAGTTCATGAAAATTTCCTCTGCCCACTTTGGGCCATATAAGTGTCGAAACAAACAAAACGGGATCTACATGAAACTGCAATCGGCAAACCACAAGGGTGCGAAGATACGGCCACCAACCTATCAAGTGTAGCAGAGTAAATGCTGTTGGCTCATACCGACAAGCAGCATACAAACACCTCAGAATACTGAGAAGTGAAGGACTAAATGATCGATTAAACGCGCTAAAAGAGCAATTAGACGGACAACAGCGGCTCACTGTTCGGGTAGTTTCGAGTAAGATGGCCGGAAGCTACCTTATTCCTATGGTCTCGGGAGTCAAAAAGTGGCTTCAAAGTGATCGCGAATATAGTGGCAAAGAGATGCGTAGTTGACACTCTGAGGCATCTCCTCGTGGTGCCGACTGGGTAGCCCGGACGTCAGTCTGTGCGAGCTAAGAGTTCGACAGCTCCAGACGAAGCTAATCACCGTGTTTGGTTTCAATGTGCTGGTTATTTTCAACAATGTACGATACGAATCATCTAGTGCCTTCGTACCAGTTCCAACCAGTACACAGGAGAGACTCGTGGGGCTGACGTGTGAGGAATGCGGCAATTGCTTCAAATCGAAAACTGGTTTGGAAGCCCACCATCTATGAAAGTGTTGCTACAAGCGTGGTCGCCTAATTAACATGCGCTGATCGTTCCCGCCTTTTTCCGACGAAGACTGACTTGAGTCAACATCACCGGCAATCAGTCCCCACCAAGCATAATGCAGATAAGTTTGGCCGAGCGAAGATTTCGGTGTCTGCTGGTCCTCACAAGAGTCACCATCAATCTTGTACCTGACTAAAAATTTATATCCGTCTTTTGACACACAAAACGCAAGATTGCAGAAGTATTTTCCTGTTGACTGGCTATCAGCATCAAAACACTAGGTTACGGGTGCTTAACTGGCAAGCTCAACAGAACGATCATCTGGTGGCCCTGACCAAACCATCGGCCAAATAGCGGCCTACTCGCTAGAAGCTGATGACTATATCGTCCGGTTCAAACAAACCGTAGATTGCACCACGTCACTCTTGGAATCTCACCTTACCAAAAGCAGATCCGCCGAGCCAACTAGGCCGCCATGGAGACCCTATACCACCAAAGACGGAAAGATGCGGTGTCCGTTGTGCTCGAAGGAAGGATGTATACAAAGGTAATTGCGGCCTACCTTTGGAAGCCGAGCAGCATTTGAAGCAGGTGCCTTTTGCTCCAAAATACGCAGACAGCCACACACTGCTATCATCCGATTGGAATCCTCTCGAGCCCACTACTGGTGAAGAAGTCGGTTCGTCTGATGGGTTGTTCGTCAGATCTGGACAAACTCACGCTTAGGATACTTCGCTGCTTCGATAGCAACGCACTCGCTTTGTATTTCAACTGACTCTTATTATCTGGAGGTTCTCCGCTGCATCTGTGTCGTGCTCGTATTACCTAATTCCGAAGGTCCAAAAAAATCCGACTTCACCGGACCAGCTGAGATCGATCTCCGTGTCATCCATGCTTATGCGTTGCTTTCATAAGGTGCTGATCGCTGTGGCATTAGATTGCAACTGCCATCACTCCATTTTGTATCCCCACATCGAGACAGTTGTCTGCCATCCACTCTCATAACAGACACGGTATGACGGACACTTCGTGACTGATGTGTGAGATCCTTTTTATCAGACTTCACGACAACTGACGTGTCACGGCGTAATCTTCAGTTGTGCAGCTCATACAGTACGGAAGCGGATTCTAAACTTGAACGAGGAACAATCATATTCCTTAAAATTCCGAACAAAAGGTGAGGACTATCCGCTTAAACCTAGCACAATAGTCCGACAATCCGAAAACGGGTCATCAAACAAGTTTCAGTCATGAGGACTAGGAGACGCATTAGGCATACCCCTAGTTATTGAGCAGCCTGTTATAGGAGCGTCTGAGAGCTAAACAGACATTTTGTAGTAAAGGGCTCCAAACCACGGTAAGTTCAAAAGTCTTCGGAACAGAGTGCATTCGTCAAGTCAAGCGCCATGACATAAAAACTAACTACCAATGTACCTATCATGGATTAGTGGGTTGAAATCATCTTCGTAAGCCAAACGACCGTTCTTCATTGAACAATCCATCGTAGAGGAGATTGAAAAAATTAAACAGAATAAGGCATAGCAAAGCGACCCACCAACATGTAGCCACGGAATTCACTGTAAATAATCGCAGTCAAAATGTTCATGAGTACGTAGAGTCCGAGACCAAGAAAGACAATGGAGAAGATTGCAGCGGCGCGGTTTTCGTTGTACATGTCCACAAGCACTAGAATAAAGATGCCAGGTGGAGATAGTCCAATAAAACATCACTAAGAAATCTCTGTTCCACAATACACTAACTGTCAGTTCAGCAGGTTGAGAGGCTGAGTTTACGCGGCTCTGATAATTGAAAATACGGGCACTAAGATTACGAAACCAAAAGGCGGCTTAAGCACCAGCAGCCACAGGAACTCTGCTGAGCATCAAAGGCTGAGGGATTAGTGCGCTGCTTGAAAACTGCCCCCAGTTTGAGCAGTTACCCTCCAGTTAATACTGCCGTGGAATCATCACCGGTACTTCAGCCTACTCATAGGGCGTGTCTAAAGTTTGCAACCAGTTTCATGGCCAGAATATAGCAGTAGAGTAGTGAAGTAAAATTCCACCTCACTCTGTCCTTTTTAAGAGCAAAAGAATGACAGCTATGTGCTCATTGACTAGCAACAAGAGCAGCTAATCTTGTGCAACACATTCAGATCACGAATATCATGGACGATATATTCAACTGGGACTTAGCTGAGTCTCCCATTACAACCAAAGCAGTTTGCAAATGAGTGTATTATGCGAATTGCGCACAGTTTGGGTTTAAGGAGAACACAAAACTAACAGAGACTCGGAGAATGGATCCACCCGTTGAGCCTCAACAATGGTGAAACTGGTCGTGATCTGTTGAGAATTTTTCAGTAACCTTGTAAGTGGATGGAATAGGATCGGCAGATTTGGTAGTACTAGATTCTTCCACCTGAAATGTGTCAAACCAGACTGCAATCACATATGCGGGACTTTATCCTGACTTCATTATAAAGAGCAGACTGGATAATTCGAGATCTACTTCAGTTTATGACCATGCATTCCACAAAAAGGATATGGTCGAGAATTCATCACATCAATCTTTGCGAGCCACGAAGTCAAATAAACAAACTGGTATTCGATTGACCAGATTCATCCGTTCCAAAGCATGAGCAGTATTCGGGGATTTACCAGACAAGACAGACAACTTGTAGCGAAGCCCTCGCACGACCGGCAGTACCAATCACCTGACACCCCGCAGTCATAGTACAGCAAAAAGACAGCGTTTGCTTCACTATGTAGTAATAGGCCAATAGCTTTGCGAACCCATGAATTATCTGTGGTCAAAATTTTAACACGTACAAGATATCCAAGTAGACTATCCCAATAAAAGACGCGCTCTTAGGTTGAATTGCGAATAACGATGTGTCAAAAATGAGATAGCAGGGTTGCAGTACGCAGCGCCTCATTTGAAAATTGTTTTAATCTTTATTATGCAGTGGACATCGAAAGAGCTTTTGAAGGATAAAACTTCAAACGATAAATTTCGTCAGCTAAGATTTCAAGAGGATTCAAGAGGATGCAGGCAATAACGGATTTTCTGGTAAACTGACCAGCGACAGAAATAAAGGCCAAGAAAGATCGTGGATCAGTGCGGCAATTTAAAGCATTGAAATTGGAGAAAGTCGGATAATCGGCTCAACCCATATTCCGAGCTTAGTTATTTTCGGGTTTATCACATGGGTGGGAATATGGATTCGCACGTGAATATGTACAACACAGACTATTGACGGATTCACAAGCGACCGAAACGAATCGAACATATAATCATCATCATCACGCACGCTGAAATCTACAGAAAAGTCTACAAAGTAGTGAGTGAGCACGCATCAGAAGAGAGAATCAAGTCGAGTCATGAAAATACATTCAACTTTATTTATGACTACATTAGCGATGACAGGAACTCCTCCTAATCAGACTATCGTTCAGGATTGGCCCAAATTTAGCCACAAAAACATCGCCGGTGAGATCAAAGGATAGACAGATAGAATCCGCCCCACTAAATAAGGATACAATTCGACAACAGACTTTGGACACGAGAAGCGGCGAGTAGAAACCTTTTAATTTGAAGCCACTGTTTTTTGACGAGGACAAAGGTATATATGCAAACCATCAAAAAGAACATGTGAAATAAGCCACAACCTACACTGATCTTTGGTAGCTCTGTAATACTTGTGTATGTCCTCATCGGGTTCCAATTGCACTGTAACTTGTACGATCTAAATAACATTAAAAAAATTCAACCCACATTTCGATTATCTTATGTGGAGTTTGAGTAAAAGGTGTATAAACTAGTACTGATTTCGACCTGCTCAAGGACATGTGGGTAGGTTGGTTGTTGATCAGATGGCTGTTGATCTGTTCGCCGAGCTACCAATATTTAACCACATGACCAACTACTTCGTGATTTCCACGCTCAAAACTGCCCGTCGATGGGTGACTTTCGCCTGCCGACAAGCCTCCACACGACAACAGCTCTACTTACTCCATGAATGCCTACGCAAACGCATCCTTCCACGTAGCGTAACCTACCGACCGCCAATAAACGATCCACAAGCTTGGGTAATTAGCCAGACAAAGGGTAGACGAATGGTCAGACTAATTTAACTCGGCGAACAGATCAACAGCCATCTGATCAACAACCAATACACTCACCCGAGCTACCAATATTTCACCACATTACCAGTTGGGTAGGTGTAAACCACGGAATTCGCTAAAAACAACCTGCCAGAATGAAAAAAGAATATAGTCGCTGCTGACGTTATAATTCATTTGTGGAGAAAGGGATCTAAGGACGGGCAGCCCTTGTATAGCGTAGGCGGAATATGAATCACATACTATCAATCATCTCAACACAACCAGTAACTTCGAATGAAGCACAGGTGTCACCACCTAGAGAGCACCTCAAATGGCTGACCGAAAGTGAATTGCTCTTGAACGTGATATCTTCTGAAAAATAGTTTACTGTCGAAATACGTTTCACGGGACCAGCTAAAGTTATCCGTTCTGAATCGTGAGCTCCCTTGAGGGTCTTCCACACAGATACATGTGTGGTGTAAGAAGAGTGATACAAAATACGTGGGCGATTCACTGCCCACGTCAAGAAACCATTTTTCTTTTTAAAGGGTATCTGATGCGGCATATAGCTAAAGAATTAGTACATGTATTCAATGCCTTACACCTCATCAATAATTGAACTGAATCAACATGCTGCCTTGCTGCCATTTTAAGCGCTACCCATACGGCATTACTGCCTGTACCCGGTCACCCATTAGTTGGTCGACAGTGTCGTGTCTTGAGCCCTTAGTTTCAGCTTCAGCTATGACTTCATCAGCTTTGTTTTCCGGCATCTGCAGACGCATCAGTCGCGTCACCTGTCTCATCATCCGTCCAACCAGGACAGTGAGACAATCTGCTGAGCAGTGTTAGGGTGCCTCAGATAGGCACGCATCTGACATGCGATCCAGAGCACACTTTGCGAGACACTTTCAGCAGGCCTGCCATAATGAGCTGACCTCTTTTGTTGACCCGTGAGATTGTGTGAATAAAGAGCAGGTTTCAATAGACGCGCCTGATCAAGCAGTGCCATTATTCGGACTTTTCAGGAGAACGCATAGCGCTGTGCTTCGGTTGCGCACGCTGGTGATCCTTCACAAAAACGGTGAGGACTTTCCGCCCCCCCCCCCTCCTCAAACACCAAATCAGCTGTAACGTTAAGTCAGTCATCGTTTCAGAGGGGTTTGGTAAACAATCGGTGGATTTATTTACCAAACCCCTCTGAAACGATGACTTCCCAATCGGTCCCAAACACTTTCCAACTGTTTAAGTCAGTCACTTGAATCTGTGGTAAAATGCCAAGACCCAAGACGCAGGGGAAAAGGCACATGCTCAAACACCTTGTTATTAAAAAGCACAACTGGAACTCAGCTTTACTCTCACCTCCCGTAAAATTTGATTCATCAGTCAGAGACAAAACACAGGGTTGATTTTCGATCAGCGTTCGCAGTCAATGAGGTGCAATCGAATTAATATACTAGTGGTTTACCGTACTATTCTCCGCACATTCGATTGACTGCACCATAAGCTCTTTCACAATCGCCATGGATTTATCAGGTCACACTGTAGGTTACTTAGTTCAGACACTCAGACGGCGCATTTCACCGCTTTGTTTGTACATCGTTTTGAAGGGACAGTACTCATTCGGCTGCTGAAGACTCCTTGACAGTCCACGATCGGCTTCGCCTGTCTTAGTGTTCATCAGATAGGCGCAGTCCCCGAGTTCCCGTCAACCTCATGTTCTACTTGAACCCGAATCGTACAACATTCGCGAAATACACTCATTTGCACACCAACAGGTTTTAACGTAAGACTCAACTGAATCCCATCTGAATCTCACTCACTGCAAATGAGTGTATCTTGCGACACAGGGATACAGTCACACTCCATGAGTGAAAGCATTAAAGTCTTGAACACACTAAAGAATAACTGCACCCATTAGGTGCACCTAACAACCTGGCAACAAAACGTGTCATTGGTACAAGTTATGAAATGACCTATTCATGACTTCAATCGGTTCTGACACATTTCGTTGCTGTGATGAACTACAGTATGTGGTGCAAGGGAACTTCAGGGCCAGATACAGGCAGGAAAGTGAAACATGAGAAAAATCTACTGTTGACCGTCCAGACATGCACGCTAAATATACCGTCACCCGTTGCACTAGGAAAGCGTGTTCACCCTTCCGCCTAACTTAAATGTCTTGAATGTAACGTATTGGAATGGCTGGCGTGCAGTGGCCCTACTAATGGTGTCCTAAGTGGGTGGGGTTGCTATTCTCGCTCAAGCAAGACCACTTGTTTGGATACAATTGCATAATGAAACAACCTATCTATGTTTCAAATATGTTCGTACTTCTTCGTGTAAAATAGAGTACTGCTTACGCGGGCTTACAGTTATGTACTAAACGAAAACTACGACCCACGGTTTATTTGACTCCGTATCTGTTCCTATTTCTCAAGCAACATCTTTCAACTTTTGGAAACAATGGGTTGTTAAGTAATCCAAATCCGTGTTGTGAGCTTGTTCTCCCAATGGGATAAAACAGAAAGCGCACGGAAAATAAGCGAATTCAGATCAGACGAAGGCCAGCCGCTTATTTTCTTGCTGAACAAGGTATTGTGTATGTGTGTGATTGATTCCTCCGCATTTCAGCTGTTGCTGTGTGTTCCTAGCCTGCCAGGCGCAGCTTGTTTGATTAACATAACTTAACTAGCTCTCCGTTTCGCCTGATGCACATTGATATCGATACGACTCTGAGCTTGCACCCCATTAGCTCGAGAGCAAGCGGCGCTTACCTTTTGACAGGCTGACCAATGTGATCTCCTATTCTGAGTTGTATGTACAAATTTCCCATAAGCCTATTCGATGTACGTATGGACAAAAATGTGCACTGAGTGAGACTCGAATATGTGTACAGAGAAGTGAGGAGTAGCACCTACGGAAACCGTGGACCCGTTCGGTAACATTTTCATTTTGATCCCAAGTGATTTTAAAAATCGTATTGAGGCTCTTGGTTTCCATAGATGAACATCACAAACAAGGGATTCAGCTGGGTTCCAAGTGAGTCTCACGCAAAACCAAACTAGTTTGCAAACGAGTGTATTACGCTAATTAAGTGCAATGTGGTTCCAAGTACAACATAAAGTTAACGGAAACTCGGGGACTGCAACTGCCTGATGAGCCTCAAGAAGGGCGAAACCGGTCGTGGGCTGTCGAAGAAGTTTCAGCAACCTCATGAGTGGTGTATTACGTCCATCATGCATCACGATATCTCAAATATCCTCGCAACTCGAATATGACGCGACCTGGCGCAGCAAATTCAATTGCTTAGAAACATCAGCAACGAGGGATTCAGCTGGGTTCCAGGTGAGTCTCCCGCAAAACCAAATTTGTTTACAAATGAGTGCATTTCGCTAAAAACCTAAACGCGTCTCTGTGATTTGGAGCTATCTTAATTTGAGAAAGTTACGGGGGAAAATCACGCGACCGCCTAGAATCCATCGTTTTGCTTCAGAAGAGGTGATTTCACCTACGTCCGGGGAAAAGTTGTGAGGCTAGTTATCTAGTAAACGTGCCAAAAGAGCTAGGGCCTATTTGTGCAACCTATGTCACCAACCAGGTCCCGCAGTGAATGCTCCCGCTCGAGGACAAGGGTGGATAATACAACTAATACACTGTTATACAATTCTGAGAAAATTTTACGCTTTTATTTGAGCACCACAATCATCTGGTCCTATTTCACCTCTAGTTTATTTAGTAACCCATCGATCCATTGTAGACTAGAAACCGATTAGTGGTTATAACTTTGTGGATGTTGCGACAAAGTTGGAATTCCGAGTTTCCAACCCTAAATGCTCGACACAGGCAGTTCATTGAACAAATACACAAAAGCAAGATTAGGTCCGTGAGGACAATGGTATGAACAATAAACTTGCAATCGGGATGATTCGCAGTTGTCGTCAACACGAGTAGGTTGATCATCGTCCTATAGAAGTCCGGAAACGGAGAAGATGAGTCCGTCTGTTAAGAGGATGAATAAAAGCGAAAAACTTCCATTTGGTTTCTGCAAGATGTAGATGCGAAACGACTACCCACTGATTCACTCGGTCATTGGCGCTCCTGTATTGGTGCCGTCACCTTGAATTGGCTTTGTTTCATGCATCATCACTTAAATAGTACGGTTCGATATCAAGCTGGGAGTTCACACCACTACGTCCGGTGTCTTGCTTTACTCTCCTTATTCACTCACTTTTCGTTGAACGAAACTGTAACAGATACATGGTTTGTGACCAAATAACTGAGATGAGCTAATCCAGACCGACCATACCTGTGGACTTCCTCGTGATCTGATTGCTAGCTAGTCTTCTAACTGAACCAGCACTGTATGTCGATGGTTCGAAAAGAAGGCCGTGTGAACAGCATGAGGGATGTTTCCGGTATTTTAAAGCCAACTCACTGCTCAAGCAAAAGTTGTGTTCAAGCAGAAGGTTGCGCAGAGGCTGAAAGCTATATCGTTCAGAAAACCCCATTTTATGGAACAAGGAAACAAAAGACAATCGGTCGGATATCTGGGAATTTACCTTCGCACACATGAAAGTATGCACGGTGATCTCTGCTGTTACTTGCCCATGACACATGAAACAACGACAATAAAATGGAACAACAAAAGAGATAAAACACTGAAAAACGGTCGGAGTCAGCCGTCACAGGTTACAGCACTGAGGATAATCCTCAGGTGAGACCAAGTAGCACAGTATTACTATATATAACAAAAAGCCAACGAAAACTTGAAGCTCAGAGCAGAATGACTAACCGAATTCGCGGCACCACTGCCGGTGTGATGTTTCCCAGAAAAAACACATAACGCTACCATCGAAGCACATACCAACCAGAGAAGGAGAAGGAACAGGGTGCTGGAATAAGGGAAAAGACATAATGTCAGGTTAGTTACTTTGGAAAGATGATCTCACTCGACGGTCCATAGCTGGACTAAGTCGTGTTGGTAGCTACTCTTCAGAAAAACATCCAAATTCTTTTTGGTCTAGTCTGAAATTCTGCTAGCCTGCTCATGAACTCATGGAAAACATACCATAATGGACAGAACAGCCAGAGTTCTTATAGCCTCTGGAGTAATATTTGCAAGAGATTACCGTGACTAAGGGGTGGTTTTAACCTCCCCGATGGAGCGGACTACAAACTAGGTATCCATTGTCGCAGAACGCTGTTGTTGACTATCCAAGGGAGGCATCTGTCACTAGATGAATCAGGCCTGTACTGAAGTATTTAGGTTCTTTTCTGTCTGCTGAGGTCGTTATAAACCTCACTTCTTTCAACAGGTTAGTTACGCCAAGCCTAAAATAGCATTTTGTCCACATTTTGTCCACAGATAAATGTCTGTTTATGATAATCAAGCTATCTGTGAAATCAATGGGGTGAGAATTCGATACTGTCAACACTATCGTAGCACTGCTTTCATTTGCTCTCCGAACCATGCAACAGTTACACGCTTATCTCTCTGGCCTCGACCTTGTTTGAACCGATTACATTATCGAAACGGAAAAGTTGTGCAACTGAAGTCCAGTGTGACTGAAGCGATGGACTACCAAAGCTGTAACCACACTCTTGAATGTGCATTTTTTGCGTAAGTTTCCAGAGCGAACAAACAATTAGACTCAACACTGACAACAGAAGCGAATGCGGTGGTGGTGCCCAAATGGATTTCCCTGCTGGCCCCTGCCGACTAAATAGTGGATACTCATGAAACCTGATTCCGCTTTAGTATTAGTGCGCTCAACGATTTTTCGGAATCTGTGTCAGTCATTGTATTAAGTTCCGTTCCCGGAGTTGGTCAACATCGAGCTAACACGAGGCTTTGTAAACAACTTTGCCAGACGGATTCGCTTAACTAAATGTAAACACGGCGACGAATTGATTTCAGTTAACTGCGCAACGCTGAAACAATTAATGGTTATTGCCTGACAGTCTGTATACAGTGTTAGTCAGGACGGTACTACCTCGAATAATCGATAGCATGCACTGTGTTGCCATAGTGCAACACATGATCCATTTTTGAACGATGCAAAATTAATGTAGCAACGTACAAATTCAACGGGATCTAGCTGAATCGACATGAGCTACTAAACAAGAACCCAATGGGAAGAATAACGCGATCCGATGCCAGACAATTCATGAAGGTTCAGTTCAGTGTGGGTGTAAACTGAACGCTCGTCTGGTCAACAGTTCATGCTGCTGCCCTTAGGAACACAGTCGTTATTCAATGCTGCGTAGCTGGTGCAGCTGAATAGTTAAGTGCACCATAATCGACTCAGAATTCCGTAAAGTGCTCACAGCTACTTGAATAGACACCTGGAAGTAAAGTTGGGATTTTTAAGGCAGCTTGATGAAACGAGTGGGTGAGTGGGTTCCAGAAAGTTCAATCAATGTAGTGGCTTCATCAATTACCGGTGAGAATTTACAACCTTACTATTGGCGGATCATGAAGTTGCCGGACGGAACTGTTGGCTGTTCAGTGAAAAAATAACCTGAACAAATGACGCCATACCTGGGTTTTGGACTGCTTTTCTCCTGTCTCGATAATTCTAAATATATATAAGCCTATGTGCTTCTCTGATGTCTGCATTAAAGGGTACCACAGCTGGACTATTTGATTTATTTGACATGATCCTAGTTGTATGATCGTGCCTTTGGTAAAAACGGTATAATGCTGTAAGTCACATATTTCTTTCGAAATGTTAACGTGAGTTAAACCCACACCAAGCGCGTTTGCTTGATTGGACAGCTGACATCAGTATACGTGGGTGCTAACAACATATTGAAACTTCAACCCCCCCCCCAATGGGAGCTACAAAAGCAGATCACTGACCTGAGTAGTTTGGGAAGCGTTCTTCTCAGGCATTTGAGTAGCTTCTTCATCAACTGCGAATTACTGATGAGAAAATAAGGCCGCAGAAAACGCCGAATTCGATGAAACTATGGGGCGAAGGGTGGGCAAAGAGACTCGATCACATGAGTGTGAGATCAAGTGTGATCAACAAAAGAATACCAATTTCAAATACTCGACATAGAACGCCTGTTGGTCTCATCGCGTCTCAAGAGGTACCCACCTAAACATACAAGTTTCTCTTCGATGGCAGTTCCAAAAAGCAGAACGAGTTAGAATTTAAACTCAGGCCTATTACGTTCACCCCTTGGCCGGGAAAACAGTCATCGACCCGCGAAATCCCTACTCCGTGGGCGATTTTACGTAGTTAAGAAAATAAAAGTGACATCTATGGCGGATCCACTTGAGCTTACCTGACACGCTTTTTACTTCTGTATTGCTACTTCTGTATCGGAATATGTGTGGTGCTGGGATTATAATATTCGTTTTTCCGGGTTATTGGACGCCTATTTCAGACCCATACCAGGATAACATAACGCGAAATACTAGAATCTAATGCCATGGTGAAATACAAGACACCGAAACGGAAAAACCCATTTTCCGACCACTTTCTTAACCTACATACAGTGGGTCCGGCCGGAGTCTCCACGAGCGGAGATAACGCCAAGATTACGGTTACATTAACAATAACACAACACTGATCGTGGTATTTGCACAGTCAGCTTTTCCTCAAGGGACTTTAAAATGACACTTCACTCAGCTACGCCACTAACGGCAACAACTGGACTATGTAGAGTCAGTTCACATGTTTTTCCAGGTATGGCGAGAATCCGCCGAGTGGCTTGTGAATACTCGGTTCATCTACTTAATCAGTGAAGCGAGAAAGTTGATGAACTTGTATCTGACAATTTCACGACATACGAGACCAGCGATTACCGTAAGATCAGCCGAGATCACGCTATAGTTTTTATCAAAGATAATAAAATAAGTGAATGTAGTGGATGTACGGGAGGTCTTGGGAACTTCAGTCAAGATCTCTGCCCGAAAGTGAATTCAATCTACTGAAAAGCCTAGGCGCACTGTACAGATGCGTCATCCCTACTGATAGCCATCAGCGCGCATCTCACCAACTTCTAAGAGTATTCCCCTTGCTGGTAGTTCAGGTCTATAAAATTCGGCCGCAAGCAGTTATCTGACTTACTTGCACTTAGACAGGGTATACAGCCACTCACCTTCACACACGCAAATCACATCACGCGCTACAATATGGAATTTTTCATCGAATGATGAACTGTGTGGATGGTCGATGGTTGGTAACATATCCTTAGTGTGAGTTATTAACCCAAGTGATTAGACACTCGTGACCGAACAGCACAATCTTCAGCTACCGGTCAGGTGATGAAGGGTTCGAATCTGAGAGATTTCTGGGACGCGCACTGATGATTCCTAACAAGGATGAAAATGATACACAATGCCCCTCGGCTAGTCAGATATCGCTTGAAGGATAAGATATGAATCAGAGTACAAACGTCAGTCAGTCGTCTATGGAGTAGTGAATCGACTGATTTGTTAGCCCGAGTAAGGAGTTCGTTGCATCGACATCACGAATTCACATGCAATACATCGGCAATGATAATGTGACGATAAGTCTGTCGGGTAGGTATGCTTTGACAACTGAATAACGACAAAAATACTATACATCACTTCTACTGACCCAGTAATACATAATACAAGCAGAATAGACCAAAACTGTGACCAAACGGTAATCAGGTTAAAACTGATAATCAATAGTTAAGATCGATAAAACTGATGCGAGTTCGGCAAGTTATCTAAGACTGACAAGTGATTGTTCGGCCACGTTCGAATCGACGTTTGTACAAAACGTTTCTGGACACAGTTCAGGTTAAATGAACGGGAACTAACTGATTTTGCAACATAAAGAAGCTCAGTTCTTATAAAACTGAGCACCTTGACCTTAACTTTAATATTCCACCTAAAAGCGGTTCGAACATCAGCCATGGGTCCGTTTTCAAGGGAGTTAAATAAAGCGGAACTGCTTACGTTGTGTCGTCGGAACAGAAAATTAAAAACTTGCTTTCCGTGTGACAGATGGGTGCATAAGCTACTGAGAAATGACCTCACTGCCGTCATTACAAAACCAGCAAAAGATCTTGTCGGAACAGAAAATTAAAAACCTGCTTTCCGTGTGACAGATGCGTGCATAAGCTACTGAGAAATGACCTCAGTGCCGTCATTACAAAACCAGCAAAAGATCTAGCGCAACGTTAAAACGAGGTGAATAAAAAAAGGTTGTAAGCACTTCTTGATGACAACACAAAACTATGAGTTTTCGACAGATGCGAAGGATACTGCTGGATTGGTCGGGAGACCATCAGATAAATTCTCAACCGAAGTATCCTTTCAAGTGAAGTCCATCTGAGCTGAAAACTGGTAGGCAGCTGCCACAGCTTCACTCACTGACAGTTGGATACTTACACATCACATCACTGATATATGAAACCAGGAGTAAAAGCAAACTTTTCAGTGGTAAAATCAGAGGAAGGGACTGTGCGTTGGAGTTACCAGCTTGGATGGACCAAGTGGTTAGAGCGCGAATTTACTGACTGGAAGGTCCGTGGCTCGCACCCGACCTCTGCCACTCGACTTCCCGTGTCTAGGCTTGGGCAACCTGGTAGTATCCCAGCCCTCGTGCCTCCTTCATGTGGAATGACAGCTAGGCATCGAAAGGGTGCTACAGCTGGACGATTTTATTTTATAGCCCATGTCCGTCAATAACTCTAACCACTGATTGGTCCCGTCTCTGGGTCCTCACCTGGGAAGACGGAAATTACTGGAACGGCTTGGTTTGTTACCATAGATTGGATACCACTGGCTCGTTAACACCCCCTGCATGGTTGCTCAAGAAGACTCTCTGAGGAATTCGGTTGACTGGCACATAGAGCACGTGACCAAGCCAGCGCAATCTACGTGGTACTGTCGGAACATCTGTCCCAGGTAGGTTATTTTTTTAGAAACTAGTCAACGTACCTCAGCATAATGATCCAGTTTACGCCACGCTCGAGATATGCTTTGAGGACACCAATAATAAATCACTGAAGGTACGGCAACGTCCAAAGTTCACACAGGCCAAGCTTCTTATCCATATAAAAATACAATGCATACAGCTGTATCGTAAACTCGAACCTTAAAAGACAAGTTGATGTCACGCCAGAACTACGGAAGTGCGGGTTGAGAGAGGCCGCTATCGATTTTTATTGAAATATCGCCTTCAGCTAGACCAACGAGACTGATATAACTATCCAGGCATGAAAATTACTCTACCATCTGAATCGGCTTGTTCCCAAGCAGGTATTTTGGGTTTGATCCCGAGTGATCCCGCAACAACACGCAAACTTTTCAGGCATGAAGCGTGAACCAAAGGATAAGGCCGAATTACGTAGACTATATGATCATGTTTGCATTACCATATTATTATACACAGGGAGAGCTATATCCCAGAAACATGGCCGATGGTGACGATGAGTGTTCATTCAGCCGATCAGACAGTCTGGAGTCAAAGTTCGATGCTCTTCGTAACCTTTACACTTGCTTGCTTGCAATAAAGTTTTTTGTTCGTTATTGGCAAGTTTTTTTTACATTAAAGTACTGTAGAGGGGACAGCAATTAGTCGCAACAGGGTCGTCACAGAACTCAAGACCGATGACCAATCCAGGCTGGCAGCTTTTAGTGGATTATGGTTGCTAACGCAAAACAGCCACTCCCTCCATATTCTTCAGATATTTGCTGAAAGATATACCACATATTTTCCACACATAGATTTCTATTTGTGTGTTTGTCGTCTGTGCAATCGTGTCTACTTGTATCCGATTGTGTCTGAAGCCAACACGGTATACTAGGAAGCGAAAATGTCGTGTACTTCGAGTAGGTCCATAAGACGGTTAGCATTAATTTACTGGTATTTCAAATGGATAAAACCACTTTAATCTTACTTAAATATCAAGCTTCTTCCTTATTACATCCGGAAAGCCGAAAACAACGGAAATTCACAACCTCAAAAGGCATTGGAAGGTGGCAAATATTTTCCTTGACTTTTCTGAAAAAGATTATATTGATCAGTGTGAAGATTTTTCAAATTGGAGGAGTAACCCAAGTTATTTTCTAGTTGCTACTAATTGGTATTCGCTTTATGGTTGTATTAGACAGTCCACTACTGCCGGTCTCAGTCAATCCTGGCTAGATAGGAAGGGATATCTCAGTGAGTAAGGCTCTCTGCCAGAATTCGTAGGTCGGGGCGGTTCACTAAACTACGCTTTTCCGGTGAAACTATACAAGCTTGGTTGGTTTTACCTTTAATCTGGTTGGAGTTACCAGGGGATCGCTGCAGCAAATGTATGTGAATTGTGACTGTCTAAAAGGTGAGTCCATGCTACTCCGACGACTTCCGCGAGCCCCCCACGGTGAATGAAAGGCCATTCGGGACGGTGGTGCATGCGGCGATTTTAAGAAAGACCACTTTGTATAGGGATGTTCTTGTTGCTATACCGTGGAAGGTTAGGTTTGGATTTCATTGTTCTTTGGAACATCATTTGAACAAAAAATTGGCAGACCTGGAAAATCACGAGTAAACCACACCCACCTCATTGCAGCCAAACGCCAAGGATACGCTGAGATCGGTCAGGTAGACTGAGAAGACGACAAAACGACCAAGAAGCCAGGGATTTCGCTTCACCCATGATCTTTCAAATGCACAGCACTACAGCAAGAGAAAAAAGATAAAAGGAAATAAATGAAGAAAGCGAGATAAGGATGGGATAATATTGAAGGAATGTCTGAGATGCGTACCATGTTCTTTAAAGATGGATTTTGATCTACGTGTATAATTGAGATACTGAAGTAGCACCTTCAGTAGCTACTCAATCAAATGGACCACAAGTTTTGATTTACTGAAAGAAATAGCCATAACCATTTCAATGAGCATTTGAATGAGCAAGCACGACCACCGGATGTAGTGCATCTTCATAACCATAACCACCATAAGGATCTGTACTTATGATAGGTACATCCTAGAATTTAGAAATGCCGTGTAAATATGGCTTCAACCAAACCGTAGTAGTTTCATTAAATATGATCGGTTTTTCTTGCACAGATTCTGGTTCAAATCTCTGTTCACAAAAAATCAACAAAACAATGAACGACTTGCCCTGAATCAGATGTAGAACTATGCCTATTTCATAGTCTTCCTGGAGATCCTGAAAAAGAGGGCATAAGGCTAACTTTAACTGTAAGCCGGGAAACCACTGACTGACCAGGTGGAAACTAAACAATTTAGATCTGTAATGTGCGCCCCTAGTGAGGTAACGACCCACTTGACTCGTGGACTGTACCTATGGCATGAACATAATGCTCGTGATTTACCATGAATTGGTTCGATATGTAGAACACACGAAGGACCGCAGGTGATATCACCACAGACTCATCGTCTCCGCATCATTATAAAGAAGGGTCGCAGTCGATCAGCTAGAGCACTACAGCATTCAAGCAGATAATTCCACTGGTACAATACTCACCAGACATATGGATTCCAAAAGGACCACGAGAAGACACATCAGTTCAACAAATTCCGTGACACCACAGGGTAGTCTAGGGCGAACAATATTTTTTCGAACATCAGAGTTCAATGTTAAGGATGACGGCCACTCAAAAAGTGGCAGGAGGAAAAGTATGCATATAGCCATGCGATAAAACCATTGAAACCAGGGAGAATATGAGGCATTATAGAAGCTCAGGCTGCGTTTGTCCAGTTTGTGAAAAATAGAGCGGTGCTGGAAGACAACACTTCAATAAAGAACGTTTTAACTTGCATTAACAGCATCCTCAAGAAATGTCTTTGCTTGTCTTTCATAGAGACACTCTTGAACAAATGAATCACGGTGAGAAGCAAATGGAATACTTACCAAGGTCTGTCACAGCAGTAAACCTTTCGTTGTCTGAGTACATCATTTGCTAACAAATTTCAATAAGTTGGATGAAAGACAATTTGTCGTCGGTCAATCCAAAATCCTTTTAAACGGTTCAAAGGCAGCTCATGAAATTATGCCTATTAAAGTAAAAATAAACCAAATCCAAGTGAAAACCCGAAAAAGTCAAGTCAGAGAAGCGCCCATAATTCATGGCAAATTGATTTATCAGCACAAGTTATGAATAGATTTCCTGACATTTCAGGGCAAGCTTTCGTTCTAAACGGCGCAATTTCTAGTAGAAACCTTGTTTCAAAGAAGGTTCCTTAGAAGCATTCGGGAGAGACAAAAGTATTATCTATGGAAAGAATTCATCTTTCTGCTTAACTAATTGAAAGCCCATAATTTACAAGAGCAAATATTCACACGTGTGATCCGCAGTCACTCAACCACAGTACGACTGCCTACCATGTGCACAAACTGGTATGTATGCTATTCAACACGTAAGCGCAATCTTACTGAATAATTCTGTGGTGAGGGTTTCACTAGACAGACAACCTAGATGCCCCGAGAGATTTCCACTCAACAAGATCCAGATTAGTATTCACATGTAGCTAGCCTGAATTTGGAATTTGAGTATAGAAACATATTTTATATAAGTTTCTCGGCCAAACTAGCTGTAGGTCAGTTAGAACAGTCATCTGCTGCTAGTGACTAATCGAAAGTTTTGTTTGATTTGTTATCGATCCTTACAGATCTAATAAACCATAGTGCTGGCAAAGCCCAAGGTTCAACTAAATAATGATACGACCCACATCGGACGAGAGCAACTTAACGTCTCGTGATCTTCGAACCTGATAGTCTGTCAAAATACCTTGGGGCGATACGTGCCTATGTCGCAATACAGCGCTGGTCACACTAGCGAATCGCGGAAGCAATGTGGGAGTAATGTTGGGCAATATCATCTTTCAGAATGTTGACGATAGTATTCAGCTGTTCCATTTAATGACAACGCTGGACTCACAGTGGCTTGTGGCGAAGGAAAACGTTTGCCACCAGAACCATTATCACTCGTCACCCTCGCCGCCATCACGTCATTAGTGTTGATCAGTGTACATTTTGCATGCCTACGCTTCTGGACACATCTAAAAAATGTGAATGGATGGCCATTGACTTCGACCAGTGGCCATTTCTCGCAGCATCTCCAATTATGCGCGAAAAAGATCTCGTGGGCCCCATCCCGGAAAACAAGTCGCACCGAAATTATCCATACTTTCCGTAATAGCCTTCATACGCGTCTGACAGCTTAAAGAGCAAACACAACCCCACCTGTTCTGCTCACGAGCTGGTAAGAAAAACAGTTCTTCCTTTGACAACCCGTGATTTAGTATGCGCAATATATGACCAAGTGACCGCAATTTTCGATGCCCAACACAAATCTCTTTATTTTCAAAGCAAAAACATTGTTGCGCGCATATTGCAAACCCAAAGGGTCTTCGTCAGCAGCTATCTGAACACCAGGATTTTGAAGATATTTCAGCGTCATTTAATTATCTCAGTCATCGTATTATTATTATATTATTATTTATTTATTATTTTTGCACACTACTTTGTCTACTAGAATCTTTGGAGATGTTCCCATATACTCATACACGCCAAAATGCACAAAAATATGGAAAATTTACGATGAGTATGAAATTTTCGGAATATTTCTTTCTGAACAAGCGGCTGTTTCAGAGATACCTAAATTTTTGGCCGCTTATATGGACGGCTAATGGAGCGTGAAGTCCCAATCCACACAATCGCTACCAGGCCCAAATAGCACTTGCCACTTCCAGTTTATGACTGTAATAAGTCACCCGTTATTAGCGTAACATCTACAGATATTTTTCCCCAAAAATGTCGTGAACAGACTTATTTCCCCAAATGGAGGGAAGTAGACCAAACTTACGGTGACTAAAGCCCTAGCCTTCATCTTTAAACAAGGAGGACGGGGATATTTGGACGACAGGCTATTTGGTTTGATTTGAATCTCACAACACACTTGAGAGTGTGAACCGGTTAGACGGCTGGTTAGCCGTTCAAGACCAAACTGGTAAGTATTTAACTGCTGACCGGAAAGTTTCAGGTCAGAAAAATGTTGAGGTTTCGTGAGATGCACAGTGCTTGGAACTCTGAACAAGAATAAAAAACGCACAGTGCTTCTCCGCTCTCAAGCGAAAATTAACTTACCATATAAGATGGAATATCAAATGCATACTTCTAAATTTCCTCACAATATCAATAAATAGCAATCTTGTCGGAAGAAAATGGAGGAGTGTAAATGGGGTTGATGAACAGATGCATGTTCCTTGAGGCATGAACAGATTCTGAGTGAAACGGTAAAGCTAAAGAAAATGCGACTATGGAGGTCTCTAAGGTGGAAAAGCAGTCAGAAAGAAGGAGCCATATGCCCGCAGACCTGCCGCTTATAGAACAAAAAAGGTAAGTTATCGTCCTGCATCTGCAGCGTTGTCTTTTATTGTAGACCTGAGCCAATTTAAAAGCCAAAGTTAAAAAATTTGGAAAAATGCAAAACAAAGGATCGGTGAGCTTAGAAACCGAGGTGATCAACAAACATCTGAAGGTGATTTGAACAGTGTTTTTGACGAAGCGTAGGTAACTGTCAGAAGAATGTTACTTTACGTACACCATTTCATCACCCTGCCCGTTGAACTGGATCTTATCCACGCACCACTAGGTATAATGAGCCAGTGGAAACTTGTTGTCAGATAAAATGTTTCGCTATGAAATTCAAATAATACTTGCCGTGTCCCCCCGGATTATTAGTAGAGTCGACGGTGAGAGTCTTTCGGCTAAACTTTTATTTAAAGAAGCGTGAAGAACTGCCGGATCACCTCGAAGGCAAAGACTGTTTATAGGAAGGAGATGGCGAATCTCAAAATGAGTTTCATAGTCAGCGGATCTGAGGCCGGCAAACATTTTTATATCCACTCGTTGGGTATACTCAATGAGGGTTGAGTCCTTTTCACACCCCGAGAAGCTAATTTGATTTGCTCATTCAAGAAGTGATCTGACGTAGGCTGTATAGTGTCCGTGAAGTCCATATGAGTGATACAGAAAACATGCACCGTGCCAATCGAAGAACAATGGTATCGTTTGTACTGGTTTTCGTGACACTCCGATATAAGTCCTTCATCGTTGACTTGTGTTAAATTGTTCATGAACAAGAGTCTGTTCTTCAAGTAAGAACGATTGGAAAGGAATCCGTGGTGTGCCGTGGATATAAAGCTTTTGTGATGAGAGGGTATAGAACAGCCGGATCGGCCTGCACAATAGCTTGCACAATGTGACTAGTGTGGCCAGTTGGCCTTCAAATGTCCGGTGATAAGCACTCACCGGTTTTATCGATTGGAGTGACAATCGCTTTCTCCAAATCGCGTGTTCTATGCCAAGATCCATGCATACGTAGATCTGTGCAACACATGGTCACCATTGGTCACCGGTGGCTATAGCCATACTGCATACTGGAAGTTCAAAATATATTATGACCCCAATTGTTCATCAAATCCACCCTCGGCAAAGGAAACATCTACACATTCCGGCTAATTAGCTGGAAGAGCAGGTTTGCTTGCTCTTTAAAGAGGGTATGTTTGAACAAACCTCCTACGGCCTACAGGCCATGGAATTATCATATATAGTGCATAAAATGCATTCAAATGATGTGTTTTTGTTTTTAATGTTCGTCAGTGTCACGATCTGCCTCCGCAATCGCATTAGCGGGAAGGCATACTTCCAGCGGTTCCGCAACTTGCGAACTGTCATAAATCAATATCCTAGATTTCCTGTATGACCCTCCACCTTTAGCGGTTTCATACTGCATATGGTGTAAATTACCGTAATCTTCTCCTCTTGTGTTTCAACTCGTGAAACCCAAATATGGAATGTCTGTCGGCACCTTTCAATCCCCGGCATTTGTTGACCTTCAGAATTTCCACATTTAAACAAACACCCCTCAAAAAACCTCTATTCATAAATGGATCCTGACCCAACTACCGAAGACGCCATACGTTTTTGTTCGTTTTCCTCCACCTATTGACTGGGATCATTCAAGTCTTGTGAATATAAGACTTCATGAGTCAAGTACCCTCATTACATCACATTGAAGTTTCTCAGTTCAATTCCCTGCAGAAAATAATATGATGAAAAACAATGAATGCATGACCTTTTTTGAATGCTCGTTTGGAGTAAAGTGTAAAAATATTGCGGCATTTTTAAACACAGGTGGAACTAACGGGTAAGGAACATCGAGCCTTAGATGCACACCCCAAATTTCTTTGAAACCGTAGTTTGCACGAAGGAATAATTAACATGAAGATTTAGAATTTGTTGGCATTTTTTCGGACCCTAAAAATCCCCATCCCACTGCAGTTTTTGTGAAAGTTGCTTCAGCGTACTTGAGGTCAACCGTGAACGTGGAATTCATTTTTTAAGGCCATCAATTGCTTCTAAGCTGCACACTAGAGACACCCAAATTATTTACCCCGAAACTGTAGGGTTTCTGAAGTCGTGGACTTTACTCGAAGTTAGTCTAATCGTTTTTCATCTCCCGGTGATAAATGGCTAAGACGACCACCCCTGGCGTGGCCTAAATAGCAACCGAAAAGTTAGGCTTTTCTCATTCCCCAAGAAACAAATGATCCTTGAAAAACATTCAAATGACATATACTTTTGCAACGCCACCACTTCAATCTTTGTCCTCTGAGTGGTTGTATGACCTTTACCCCACCTTACGTTCACCCATTCTGCCGAATTAGAGCTTTCCAGCCTGGTGGTCGTTGGCTTGTTCGCTGAACTGGGCAACTTAATTGCAAACGTTTCATCACTAGTCGAGGTGACGTCATCGGTGCGTAGTGGTGGCGCCCTGCATTCACTCATCTACCCCCAGCATTTAGCGCCCGCCGATCCAATTTGAGCACACTCATTTAAACCTTTATTCAGCATCACGCTCCCGTCCAAATTCCATCAGCATCGCACTCTACT